TTATCATCACGATTACGACGACGACTACGACTACGACGACTTCTACTACTACGACTACTATTACTCTTTACTTTTACTGGTACTACTACTATTACCCCTAGTAGTAGTAGTAGTAGTAGTAGTAGTACTACTACTACTACCACCACTACTACTACTACTACTACTACTACTAGTAGTAGTAGTAGTAGTAGTAGTAGTAGTAGTAGTGGTAGCAGCAGTAGCAGTAGTAGTAGTAGTAGTAGTAGTAGTAGTAGTCGTAGTAGTACTTTTCTATTACTACGACTACGACTACGACTACGATTACTACGACTACTACTACTACTTCTATTATTATTGCTACTACTACTGCTACTACTGGTAGTAGTACTACTGCTACTTTTATCATCACGATTACGACGACGACTACGACTACGACGACTTCTACTACTACGACTACTATTGCTCTTTACTTTTACTGGTACTACTACCATTACCCCTAGTAGTAGTAGTAGTAGTAGTAGTAGTAGTAGTAGTACTACTACTACCACCACTACTACTACTACTACTACTACTACTACTACTACTACTACTACTACCACTACTGCTACTACCACCACTGCTACTATTCGATAGGGCCCTGGTGGCCCACCGCATCCCAGAGCGTGCGGTTTCGCCAGCTCGGGGGCCTATCGCCGAGGCGTCGGCGAGGTAGCACCCATTCCGGCGCAGCCTCCGCCCTCCCCCTCCCCCCCCCGAGCCAGACTGCCCCTGTCGTCCCCCGCAGTCCTCCGCAGGAGTCGTCTGCGCACCTCCGTCCCGGCCCCTGGCTTGGCCTGGCCAGGCGGCGGGCGCCTCGAGCAGGCATCGGAGCGGCTGGTGGTGGGTCGCCGTTTTTTTGGCGCGTGGAGGCCAGCGTTGGGCCTCGGGGGCCTCGAGATCGGAGCGGCTGGTGGTGGGTCGCCGTTCTTGGCGCGTGGAGGCCAGCGTTGGGCCTCGGGTCCTCGAGATCGGAGCGGCTGTCGCCGTTCTTGGCGCGTGGAGGCCAGCGTGGGGCCTCGGGGGCCTCGAGACATTTGCTCAGGGTGAAGCGCCTGCCCTGGGGAAGGGGTCGAGAGGTCTGGGGGCCCACTCGTCGAACAGGTCGCAGCGCTGGATGCAGTCATGGGCGCCGTTTTTCCTCTGCACCGGGCGTTGCCGCCCATCCTCGGGCCCCAGGGCCCTCACAGATCGATCCAGCTCGAGGCATGCAGGAGAAAGGCGGAGTCGAGGGTTCTGGTCGTGCTTTTCATCATGCTGCAGGCTTTTGCGACGTCGGATCTCAGGGAAGTCCCTCCTGGCGGAGGCCAGGAGGCTGTGTACACCTACCAACCAAGATCCACTTCGATCCGATTGATCCGATTCGATGCTGTTTCTGGCGGGCCCGATCCGATTCGATGTTTTTGGGGGTGATCCGTTGCGGCTTGGTGATCGCATGGCGCTCTCTGGCGCGGCCGATCCGATTCGATGTCGACTCCATGCCGATGCAGCCCGACTCGACGCACAGTCCGATTCGGTCCGATTTCCCGATTCGATGTTGACTGATCGTGCCCAGGGCCCATGGGACGGCCCTGGCCGGGGATGGTGTCGGGGGCAACGTTTGGTGGTGGGGGGTAGGCTCGGGGGGAGATGCGTCGACTCCCAACCCGCCATTCATCGCCGAATGTGGTTTGATAGCCCACCCCTGCGGGTTCGCTATCGGGGGCCTGTCGCCGATCCATCGGCGGTGCGTCGCCGATTCCAGCTCGATGCTCCCCCCACTCTGGGCAGACCCCCCCTTTCATTCTCCTCCTACCGTGCTGGTGGTTTGCGCAGCTGCCCCTCCTCGGAGATGTCTACCCGTTTGTTCCCCTGCGTTGCATCTTCGGGGGGCCCCGCCTGTCCCCCGAACCGGTGCTCTTTTTTTTTGTTTTGTTTTCCTCGTGCCCGACGCGGGCCCGATGCAGGCTCGACGCGGATTCTTGGCGTGGCCTGCAGATCAGTTCCCGCCTCGCTCCGGCGGCGGAGCCCCGTCTTGGCGGGCCGGCCCCCCCCCGCGGAGCTCTCGGGGGCCCCCCAAAGACCCGGGCGGCGACCACGCCGCGCGGTGAGTCGGTGGGGCTTCGGGCCCTCGCGCGGCTTCCCTGACCTTCCAGAGAGCTGTTTTTTAGCACGGGAGGCCCAAAAACCTAAAAAACAAAACGAAACAGCCTAAAACCAAGACATAGAATAGCTCTGGGATAGGTTTTTAAGTCGCGTGCTATTTGTTAGCCCTCCCGGAAGGTCAGGGCTGGCGGACCCAGGCCGGGCTCGCCGAGGGACGGCCTCGTCGGCGCCCGGGGGGCCTCCGAGAGGCCCCGAAGACCTCATGGAGGAGGGCCGTTTTTGAGACGCCGGCGGTCGGCCTCCGGGGGCCCCCCCCTCGTCGCCACGGCCGGGCGCGGCGCGGAAAGCTGGGGCGCCTGGGCCCCGGGAGGGGGTCCGGGGAGCGGCCGTGAGCCGGTTCCCTAACTTTCCAGGAGGGCAACAAAAATAGCCCCCGACTTAAAAACCTATCCCAGAGCTATTCTATGTCTTGGTTTTAGGCTGTTTCGTTTCGTTTTTTAGGATTTTAGGCCTCCCGTGCTAAAAAATAGCTCTCTGGAAGGTCAGGGTTTTGAGAGCTCCCAGCGTCGCAGCTCTCCCCGCTCCGGAAACCCGTCCGCGCGGCGAGGTCGTTGGGGACGCCGAGGTCCCCGCGCGGTGCGTCCCCGCGCGGCTCGTTTTGGGGGGCCCCCCGAGGAGTTCTCGGCTGTTTTTTTTTCGGGGCCCTCCTGCGCGGGGGGTCCCCCCCGCGCAGGGCGGCGCCCCGACGTTTCCCAAGGAAGCCGTTGGGAGCTGGGTGGCCGCCAGAGGCCGGGCTCCTGCAGCCGCGCGCAGAGGGGGGGTTCGGGTGGGGGCAGGGGGGAAGGCTTCTGAGAAGCACCCCTGTCTCTCGGGGGGCGCGGGCCTCATCTGCAAAATGCGGGGCCAGGCGCTCTCTCCTCGAAGCAGCCTCCTCCTGAGAGGCCCGCCCCCCTGCCCCGACCCACCCGTGCGCGCCGCCAGCTCCATGCCGGGGAAGCGTGAGGCTCGGACTCGCCGAAGCTCGGGCTCGCCCTGGCGCTTTGCGACGGGCACGTCGTGGACTCTGACGGCCTGGTCTTCGTGGGGCTTTTGCAGCGGGAGCCCGCGTCAGGCTCCAGACTGGCTCTCGTCATTCTCCTGGCGGCCCCGGCAGGCCAATCCGAGTCCCCCGGGCCCGCGCCTTGCGTCTCCCCGATCTCGATTCCAGTCGGTCGTGTCCCTCTACAGGAAGAACGCCCAACGACTGCTCCAAAACTAGTGCGGGGACGATGTTTCACCACTTTGGCAACTTTTGACAACTTTTGGAGAATCATTCGGCGTATTTTTGAGTTTTCCTCCCAAATCCGTCTGTAGGAGGACACGCTCGACCTAGATTTCGATGTGCCTTGCGGCTCTCCTGCCCCCACGCCGCCGGCTCCTGCCGCAGCAGTGCGCGGCTCTGCCGCCCACCTGGCCTGTTCGACCTGCGCCAACGATTGAGGCACGGCCCTCGGCAGCAAAAGTCGCCCAGCTGCTGCTGCTGCTGCTGCTGCTGCTGCTGCTGCTGCTGCTGCTGCTGCTGCTGCTGCTGTTCGTCCTCCTGCTCCTCCTCCTGCTCCTCTTCCTCTTCCTCCTTCTCCTGCTCCTCGTCCTCCTCCTGCTCCTCCTCCTGCTCCTCCTCTTCCTCCTTCTCCTGCTCCTCGTCCTCCTCCTGGTCCTCCTCCGCCTTCGCATTGCAAGGGGGGGTCTGGCCTACGGCTTGTAGGAAAGCTGAGCTTGGCAGGCGGAAGGCAAGCTGAGGTTTCATGTCGTAGCTGACGCGGCCGCACCATCCGTAACTCCGTAGCCTCTCCTGCACGTCACGAGCGTCAGCAGAGCAGAGCTGCCCCGAGAGCGACTCAGCGCCTGGCCAGAGCGAGGGGTACGGTTACATGATCGTTTCGGCCATCTCGCTATGACCATGGGCCCCGCCCGACTTTGTAGGCTCTCTCAGCCGCGGCGCGCTGGTGGTCGCCCAGCGCGGGCTGGCCTCAAGGGGCTCCGCATTGGCACACTGGCACCGCGGAGGCGGGAAGAGGCGAGGGCGGCCGCGGAGAGTGGGCTGAACTCAGACCGTGAAGAGCTTGGCACTGTTGCTGCGCCCCAGGCTCCGAGTCCGCGGCACCGTGACGGGTACTCACTAACGGGTGCCATGGAGATTTGTCGAAAGTTGCCGCTTTTGGGCCTCCTTCTGGTAATGCAGCGCTGCCCACATCGGGGAGGGTGGGTTCTTCGCTGGGTGGAGTCCCCGTCAGAGGGGCGTTGGACGAGCGCGAGTCGTGCCCAGGGGGCGGCCCAGGGGCTGCGCAGTGCGGCCCTGCCCGGCTGCAGGGCGTGAGCTCCGAGAGGTCCGAATTGATGGAGCTTTCTGTGCATGACAAGCTGGCACGGTGTCGCTCGGGCTGCGCAGAGACGGCCCCGCCCCAGGCCGTCCGTCCCGGCTGGCCTCGGCAGGCCTCCGGAGCGGTCCCGGCTGGCCTCTCGGCAGGCCCCGCGAGGAGAGTCCCAGGGCGGTCTCGGCACCCTGGCGGGCGCGGCGGCGCCCCCAGGGGCGCCGCCAGGAGGCGGCGCGAGGGTGCTGAGCTCGCCCCAGAGTACTCGGTGGGCCCGTGGAGGCCTGGATGGGCGACCTTCGGCATCGCCCCAACGCGCTCGTGCCGAGTGTGCGTCGCCCCCCAAGGGGCGACGCGCGCGCGCGCTGAGAAATCTTCTCGCGTGCGCTCGGTGGCGGGCGCTTTCTGGCCACACCGCCTGGGGAGCGAGACACGTACTGCAAGACGTTTGCACTGCATGTTCGGTTCGAGCGTGCGCCTCCAAAGGGGGGCGCATTGTGTGTTTAGTTCGTCCCTCTGTGTCCCATACCTGGGTGGGCGCCGCGCCAGGTCCCGCTCGGGGGGCCCTGCTGGTGCATGCTGCACGAGGGCGACTGGCTCTTCTGCGGGCTGGAGAGCGGGCGGGTCCGGGCCTTCTCGAGGCGCCCAGTTTCGGCGGCGACGACGGACGGACGACGACGGGCGACGACCACGAGAGCGACGAGAGCGACGGCGTCGTCGGCGGCGGGGACGCCAGCGAGGAGAACGGCGAGGACGAGGACGAGCACGGAGGACGACAGCGACGGCGGCGAGGAGCGACGACGGCGAGGGCAGCAGCGAGAGTGACGGAGGGTGTCGGCAACGAGGGCGACGAGAGGCGCGACGACGAGAAGGGCGACCACGTGAGCGGTGAGAACGACGTCGACGACAACCACGTGACGGCGAGGACGACGGCGGCGGCGACGAGGGCCGCGAACAGCGAACATGGGGGAGGCACAGCCCTCGCGACGGGAAAGCACCACTGCCCTGTGCTCGTCGCCGAATTCGTGGTGGTGGTCGTCGATCTCATTCTCGTCGTCGTCATCGTCCTCATCCTCGTCCTCGTCGTCGTCGTCGTCGTCGTCGTCGTCGTCAGCCGTCGTCATCATCGTCGTCCTCGCTCTCGTCGTCGTCGTCGTCGTCGTCGTCGTCGTCGTCGTCGTCGTCGTCGTCGTCGTCATCGTCATCATCGTCGTCGTCGTCGTCGCCCTCCTCGACCTGCTGTCATGCCCTCTCGCACTTTTGCCCTCCTTCCCCTCCCTCCTCCCCCTTCCCGCTCTTCTCCGCACCTCCTCCCTCCCTCCTTCCCTCATTCCTCCCGTCCTGCCGACAGGGTACAAACTGCTCAAGATGTCATCATCTGGCCGAAGCTTCAGAGCGACTGCAACAACAGCTGAAGCAAAACACACTCACTAACGATCACACGCAACTTTCTAGCACCACCCACACACGAGGACGCCGACAAGCCGACAAGAAGGGTCCCCCTACTTCCTCCTCCATACAGTCAGCCCGCCTGGTAAGGATGGGCAACCTTGCCAAGGGTACCCTTGCATCCCTGCCCCCTCGGCCCATCCTTAGCGACCTTTGGCCAACCTCGTTCGAAACATGCTCACATGGGCCTTCAGGGCCCTGGCGTCCTGACCGCGCATGCTTGTGGTGTGGGTTGATGGTATCTCACCAATCTTATGGCCCCGCAGCACGCACGCGTATCATCCGCGCGCGACCGTGTATGTTGTGTAGAGGCCACGGCCTCGCCCGCCCGGCACTGGGTAAGACCTATACCCGGAGGATGCTCCGCAAGGGGCGGCCCGCTCGCTCGCCCTCCTCCCCTCCCGTTCGCCCCGAGGGATCACCCCACGTGGCGTGGGGGACAGGTACAGTCATGCAGATTACCAGCCTGGAGCATATCCCTATCCCTATGTTTGACATCACCTCACCTCGATGCCGATCTTAACGATTCCCTCAGTTTTTGAGGGCCTATCCCTAATATTGTCCTCGCTTTTTGCTCGCCCATCTTAGGGATAGGGATAAGTTTGAGGCTGGTTAGCAGAGGAGGAAGAGGTACCCATACCGCTGCCCTCCTCTCGTTTTCCTCCTTTTTGTTGGGCCTCCTGGGGGGCCCTCGTCGCCACCGCTGGAGTCGCCCCGAAATTCTGGTCGGAACGCACCCTTGGAGAGGTCTGGGGAGTAGCGGTATCGGTACCTCCGGGGTCGGCAACGAGGGGGGTGATGACTAGGGGGGTGGATATCATGACGGGGGCCATGACATCTCCCCAGATTTCATGGCGGCTTTTCTTATTTCAATGCGTCCCCGGCCCCTCCTCCTGGGCCGCGCGCATGCCGCCGGCCATGATTTGCGCCCCCCCTCTTGGACGACCCCCTCTCCTGGACGACCTGGGGGGGGGGAAGGAGGAGGAGGAGGAGGAGGAGGAGGAGGAGGAGGAGGAGGAGGAGGAGGAGGAGGAGGAGGACCTTATGGTCTCCCGAGTCATGACGCTGAGATCAGGACCACTTCGGTTGCAGCAGGGGGCTCCGGCCTGTCGGGCCGTGCTCTTCAGGTCTTGGCCGAAGGGGGGGGAGCCTGCTCGTGGTCAGAGCGTGCTCGCGCTTGCCCCGTTGGTGCTCCCTGTGGTGGCACGATGGCTGCACCGCAGCCACTGCGGTGAGCAGACCTTCCACCACCGCTACCACATGAAGGACGGGGGAGAAGGGAGGATGAGGAGGTCCTCCTCCTTCTCCTCCTCCTCGCGTCCTCCTCCTCCTCCTGCTCCTCCTCCTCCTCGTCCTCCTCCTCCTCCTCCCTCTCCTACATATGGTAGTGGTGGTGGAAAATGGGCCCATCACACTGAGCCTGGAAGTATTCCTTGCGATCTCGAGCAAAATGGGGCTCGCTCAGAAGGAGAAGGAGGAAGGGGGGGAGGGAGGGCGGGAGGGAGGGAGGATGAGGGGGATGAGGAGGAGTGAGCAGCGCGGTTACCAGAATCGACGTGCCCGACCGAACCTTGGCCGTCTCCCAGGGGTCCGAGCCGATCACAGGAGGGCACGCGCTCTTCCACATGACCAGTTGGCCGCTGCCCCCTGCAGGTTCCGCCAGCCCCTCGGGTCTGCAGCACCCTCGGGAGCCCACGCTCGGCCGATTCGCTCAGAGGGGCCTTGTCAGAGGCAGCGTTCGGGGGCGGTAGGCTCACGGGGGGATGCGCCCACCCGCAATCGGCCATGCATCGCCGAGGGGAGCCCAATAGCCCACCCCGCACAGGAAAAGTGCGGACCCGCTATCGGGTGCCTCTCGCCGATCCACTGGTGACGTGTCGCTGTTTCCAGCTTGATGTTTCCCCCCCGGAGCCGGTCCCCCCCCAAACGTTCGCCCTCACATTGGGATGCGGGGGGATGGTAAACGGATGAGCAAAGATCGGCACGAACGTACCTGTTCGGAGGTCTGCGCGGCTTCCCGTGTAGGGACTGGGCGCGAAGTCCACGCCATATTCCGAAAGGGTATGCTGATGGAGGGTTTTCGGCTCCTCTAGAAAGAGAGCTGTGGGTATACAGCCCCTGAGCCGGTGCTTGCCTGGACGCGTCGCTACCGTCTCCAGATTCGGGTCCTGATGCGGGCGTCCCCCATTCGTTCAGCGTTGCCCCTGAGCTTCGCATGGCAGCCCAATCCTGCGCCCAGCTGCTACTCTCAGCCCATCCCTCCTCTGCCTAAGTCAACCTCGGAGTCAGCTTCATCCAGGTTCAGAGTTTGAAAAGCACCCCCTCCCTCCTCCTTCTCCTCCTCCTCCTCCTTCCCTCCCTCCTCCCTTCCTTCGCCTCATCCCTCCTCATTCCGGCTCCTCTTCATCATCCGCCTCCTCCCTCTCCTCATCCGTCCTCGTCCCCCATCCTCCCTCCGTCTCTCCCTCGTTTCCCCCCGTCCCCTGGTATACGATGCTGATGACGGCGACCGCGATGACGATGATGTTGATGATGGTGGTGCTGTTGCTGACGATGGTGACGTTGGTGGCGATAGTGCTGATGGCGACGTCGATACGAAGACGACGATGGCGACGCCGATGACGAAGACGAAGGCAACGACGACGATGGTGATGGTTGTGATGATGCTGCTGCTGATGATCATCATGATGATGATGATGATGCTGATGCTGATGCTGATGCTGATGCTAATGATGATGATGATGATGATGATGATGATGATGATGATGATGATGATGATGATGATGATGATGATGATGATGATGATGATGATGATGATACGATGATGACGCCGATGACGAAAACGACGATTACGATGACGATCATGATGATGCTGATGATGCTGATGCTCATGATGATGCTGCTGCTGATGATGATGGGGGAGGTGGTGGTGAAGGTAATGGTGATGATGATGACGCCGGTAATGGTGAACACGCGAGGTGGCCAGACCAAGGGCAGGCCCAGCGATGTTTACTTCAATGCCGATAGAAACCCAAATCGAACGATGGTGGTGATGGCGATGATGATTGCGATGATGATGGCGATTGTGATGGTGATGGTGATGATAGTGATGATGATGCTGCTGCTGAGGCTGATGCTGATGCTGATGCTGATTCTGATGCTGCTGCTGACGATGCTGATGATGATGAGGATGATGACGATGCTGATGATGCTGCTGATGATGATGATGATGATCATGATGATGATTGTGGTGTGGGTGGTGATGATGATAATATTGATCAGGACGGGGATGATGAGGACAATGGCGATGTTTATGATGATTCTGATGATGCTGAAGAGGATCAGGAGGAGGAGGTGGAGGAGGACGGTGGTAGTGGTAGTGGTAGTGGTAGTTTTGATGATGATGCTGATGATGATGATGATGATGATGATGCTGATGATGCTGATGATGATGGTGGTGGTTTTGACGATGATGCTGCTGCTGATGATGATGCTGATGATGATGATGGTGGTGATGATGATGATGATGATGACGGCGACGACGAGGATGGTAATCATGATTATGATACGGATGATGATGAGGGTAACGGTGAGATGACGGGCTCGCTGTCATGATTGCGATGAACATGACGATCATGACGGTGACGATGATGGCGACGATGATGATGAGGACGGCGGCGGCAACGACGACGTCGAGCCAAGTCGCGCGCGGAGGCAGGGCGTGGACCTGACCATCGAGCAGCGCGCGGAGGGCGTGTCCTCCATGCTGGTGCACCAGGACCCCCTTTCCCCCTCCTCCTTCCTCTTCCTCTTCCTCCCCTTCTCCTCATCATTATCCTTCTCGTCTCTCTCTCTATATATTTCTCTCTTTCTCTCACTCTCTCTTGAAAGTTGCTCGTAAGGTATGGGGGCGAGTGCCCCCGTGATGTTGCCCCAGCTCAGGTTGCTCGTGACGGTGGTGACTTTGCCGTGGTCTCTCTGGCGTGCCACGCTTTGATCGCCCCAGGTGCCAATATGTGCGGGGATTGTTCGGGGACTCTTGGATATGGCGTTCAAGTCCACAGCGCGCTCAGACATGCGGAGACCAGTGCGCTTAGCCGGCTGGAGTTGTGCGGGCACAAATGGCAGGGGGACTGGGCGGGAGGGTGTGGTTGGGACGTGTCCTGTTGAGCCCAGGGCTGAGTGGCCGAACTCCATGTTTGACCTGCGCACGACCATGCCATGCTGGAGGCGGAAGTCTCGGACTCCTAGGGGCGGGCCCAAGGGTCGCTGGCAACTGTACCTCCTGTGACTCGGTGTGTGCTGTCGGAGGCCATGGCGGCGAATCGGCTCTAGTGTCAGATTGTGCGGGGCACCATTCGTCTGGTCGGGGTGATCTCGAATGCCCACGGGGACGCTTATGCGGCTGTGCAAGGCTCTGACATGATTGTGTCTGCATTGGGGAAAGTTCAAAATCTTGTCACGGTTCCAGGAAACATCCAACAGCCTCTCGAGTGCCCCCGTGGGCTCTCGAATGTTTGCAAGGTGTGGGACATACGCCAGGGGCGCTGGGGCTCTGCGCTGGGTTCTAGACAATGGAGTGTGCCAGAAGGCTCGGCAGGGTTCTCGGAAGCTCCAGAGTGCCCATGGCTGCTTCCTAATGTTCTAGACAGCGCGACTTGGCCCCACGAAGCTCTAAGGTGTTCTAGGGGGCGGCCAAGCTGGGCCCTACAACGATTTGGGGTGCTCTAGAGGGCGAAAGCGGGGGGATAGAAGGAGGCGGAATCTCAGTTTGTCGTTTTTCCCCGCGCCCCTCCTCCTAAAACAAAGCGGGACGGCGTTGTTGTTTGTTTGTTTTGTTTCGGTGGGTGGGTGGGTGGGAGGCAACGCTGGTCCCAGCGAAGATTTCGGGTGCTCTAGAGGGCGAAGGCGGAAAGACATGAGGATGAGGATTTTCGTGTTTTGTTTTTCTCCGCTCCGCCCTGTCTTCCAAAACAAATCAGTCATTCTAGTACAACCGCAATCACTTTTCTTATGTTGTCGTCGTCGTCGTCGTCGTCGTCGTCGTCGTCGTCGTCTCCGTAGTCGTCGTAGTCGTAGTCGTAGTAGTAGTGGTAGTAGTAGTGGTAGTGGTAGTAGTAGTAGTAGTAGTAGTAGTAGTAGTAGTAGTAGTCGTAGTCGTAGTCGTAGTCGTAGTCGTAGTAGTAGTAGTAGTAGTAGTAGTAGTAGTAGTAGTAGTAGTCGTAGTCGTAGTCGTAGTCGTAGTCGTAGTCGTAGTCGTAGTCGTAGTCGTAGTAGTAGTAGTAGTAGTAGTAGTCGTAGTCGTAGTCGTAGTCGTAGTCGTAGTAGTAGTAGTAGTAGTAGTAGTAGTAGTAGTAGTAGTAGTAGTAGTCGTAGTAGTAGTCGTAGTCGTTGTCGTAGTCGTAGTCGTAGTCGTAGTCGTAGTCGTAGTCGTAGTAGTAGTAATAGTAGTAGTAGTAGTAGTAGTAGTAGTAGTAGTAGTAGTAGTAGTAGTAGTAGTAGTAGTAGTAGTAGTAGTAGTAGTAGTAGTAGTAGTAGTAGTAGTAGTAGTAGTAGTAGTAGTATCCGTAGTAGTAGTAGTAGTAGTAGTAGTAGTAGTAGTAGTAATAGTGATAGTAATTAGTAATAGTCCGTAGTAGTAGTAGTAGTAGTAGTAGTAAGTCGTAAGTATAAGTCGTCGTCAAGTAGTCATTGTACTTTTTTTAGTAGTAAGTATTAGTAGTAGTCGTAATCGTAGTCATCGTAGTAAAATCGTAGTAGTAGTAGTAGTCTAAGTAGTAGTAGTAGGAGTAGGTACTGTAGTGTCGTAGTATAGTGTATTAGGTAGTTACTAGTAGTGGTTACTAGGTGTAGTAAGTACTAGTAGTAAGTAGTATTAAGTAAGTAGTATATAGTAGTAGTGTAGTAGTAGTTAACTAGTACTATGAATACTAGTAGTAGTAGTATAGTAGTAGTAGTAGTAGTTGTCGTAGAGTCGTAGTAGTTCGTAGAGTCGTAGTAGTCGCAGTAGTCGCAGTATAGTAGTAGTAGTAGTAGTAGTAGTAGGTAGTAGTAGTAGTAGTGAGTAGTAGTAGTAGTAGTATAGTAGTAGTAGTATAGTATAGTAGTAGTAGTGTGTTGTGTGTAGTAGTAGTAGTAGTAGTAGTAGTAGTAGTAGTAGTGTTGAACTCTCTTTTTTAAGATTAAGTATTGTTGACCCCCCTCACCAGTGCGTACTGTTTTTCCTAAAGGAAAGTGTGCCCCTCGACGCTCGCACCTGGCTTGTTGACAGGGAAAGTCTTGATGCTCATACTGCGCCCCTGGCCCCCCCCCCGGATTACAACAACAACGGCTCCCGCCTGAGACTTTCTCCAAATTTATTCTGGATCCCCGCTCCCGCTTGAGAATTCTTCACAATTTACTCAGGATCGGTGCTCCCGCTTGTGACCTCCTCGCAATTTAGTCAGGACCCCCGCTCCTATCTGAGACTTCCTCACAACTTACTCAGGAACGGCGCTCCCGCTTGAGACTTCCTCGCAATTGAGTCAAGACTTCTTCGCATTTTAATCAAGTCCCCCGCTCCCGCCAGAGAGCCCCTTACATTTTATTCAGGAAATGCGCTCTCGCCTGTGACTTCCATTCAAGTTTATTCAGAAATCGCGCTTTCGACGCTCAGAAAAAAAAAAACACGCTGCGCCAAGGACGCCGTCACAATTTACTTAGGAATCGCGCTCTCGCCATACTCAGGCATCCCGCTTGAATGTCCCACCCGCCCGACCCGCCCGTCAGGGGATCGCCCGCCCGTCGTGGGCTCCCGCCCGAGACTTCCTTCAGGAACGGCGCTTTCGCCTAGGACTTCGAACGTTCACGCTCTTACCTTCCTGCTCCTCCTCCCTCTCCATCCTCCCTCTCCCTCCCTCCTCCCTTCTCTCTCCCTTCTCTCTTCCATCATCCTTATGCCTCTCTGCCCTATCCCCTCTCCCTCCTCTCCCTCCTCCCTTCTCCCTCCCCTCTCCTGCCTCCTCCCTCCCTCCTCCCTCTTTCTCTCTCTCTCTCTCTCTTCTCTCTCTCTCTCTCTCTCTCTCTCCCTCTCTCTCTCTCTCTCTCTCTTTCTTTTTCCCAACCATCCTGTGGTGTTGGGTCCTCGTTTTGAAGAGACGGTGCCCCGCGTTCCCGCCTCCTTCCTTCCTCCCTCCTCCCCCCTCCCCCCCGCTCCCACACCCATTCTGGCACACCCCTCACACGTTTCGTGGCCCCATAGGGAGCTCCAGCGAAGGCCCCAGTGGCTGCGTTCGCATGCGGTTCCACCCCCCATTCTGGCACACCCCTCACACGTTTCGTGGCCCCATAGGGAGCTCCACCGAACGCACCAGTGGCTGCGCTCGCATGCGGTTCCACCCCCATTTCGGCACACCCCTCACCACGTTTAGTGGCCCCTAGGGAAGCTCCAGCGAAGGCCCCAGTGCTGCGTTCGCATGCGTCAACCCCACCATTTCGGCACAACCCTTCACACCGTTTCGGGCCCCAGGGGGAGGCTCCAGCGAAGGCCCCCCGTGGCTGCGTTCGATTGCGGTTCTCGGTTCCCAACCCCCCATTTTCGGCACACCCTCACCACGTTTCGTGGCCCATAGGGAGCGCCACCGAAGGGCCCCAGTGGCCTGCGTTCGCATGCGGTTCCACCCCCCCATTTCGGCATACCCTTCACACGTTTCGTGGCCCCATAGGGAGCTCCACCGAAGGCCCCAGTGGCTGCGTTCGCACGCAGTTCCACCCCCCATTTCGGCACACCCCTCACACGTTTCATGGCCCCAGGGGGAGCTCCAGCGAAGGCCCCAGTGGCTGGCGTCGCATTGCGGTTCCACCCCCCCATTTCGGCCACCCCCCACGTTTCTGCCCCATAGGGAGCTCCACCGAAGGCCCCAGTGGCTGCGTTCGCATGCGGTTCCACCCCCCATTTCGGCACACCCCTCACACGTTTCGTGGCCCAGGGGGAGCTCCACCGAAGGCCCCAGTGGCTGCGTTCGCATGCGGTTCCACCACCCATTTCGGCACACCCCTCACACGTTTCGTGGCCCCAGGGGGAGCTCCAGCGAAGGCCCCAGTGGCTCCGTTCGCATGCGGTTCCACCCCCCATTTCGGCATACCCCTCACACGTTTCGTGGCCACATAGGGAGCTCCACCGAAGGCCCCAGTGGCTGCGTTCGCATGCGGTTCCACCCCCTTTTTCGGCACACCCCTCACACGTTTCGTGGCCCCATAGGGAGCTCCACCGAAGGCCCCAGTGGCTGCGTTCGCATGCGGTTCCACCCCCCCATTTCGGCACACCCCTCACACGTTTCGTGGCCCCAGGGGGAGCTGCCACCGAAGGCCCCAATTGGCTGCGTTCGCATTCGGTTCCACCCCCCCATTTCGGCAACAGACAGCCCCTCACACGTGTTCGTGGCCCCAGGGGGGCTCCACGAAGGCCCCAGTTGCTGCGTTCGCATGCGGTTCCACCCCCCATTTCGGCACACCCCTCACACGTTTCGTGGCCCCATAGGGAGCTCCAGCGAAGGCCCCAGTGGCTGCGTTCGCATGCGGTTCCACCCCCCATTTCGGAACACCCTTCACACGTTTCGTGGCCCCATGGGGGAGCTCCAGCGAAGGCCCCAGTGGCTGCGTTCGCATGCGGTTCCACCTTCCATTTCGGCACACCCCTCACACGTTTCGTGGCCCCAGGGGGAGCTCCACCGAACGCCGCAGTGGCTGCGTTCGCATGCGGTTCCACCTTCCATTTCGGCACACCCCTCACACGCTTCG